GTAAGAGATCAAGTGTGTTGATTCTGCGTTTAAAAACATTCGTTTAACATTTTAGAAACAGCAAAAAAACGATTACAAATATATAGGGTGTCCCAAAAAGATGTGCACACTGTTTGATCATTAATAACTCGCTTGCTTTCATGTCTTTTGCCGAGCTTGAGGTACCATTCTATAGGGCGAGGATAAACTCAGGATAAACTCGTGTTTGGAGCTTAAGAGCGGTTGTGACTTAACTTTTGAGCCTCTGACGATGACAAAAAAATTCTTCAAGTGTGTTGATTCTGCGTTTTAAAACATTCGTTTAACATTTTAGAAACAGCAAAAAAACGATTACAAATATATAGGGTGTCCCAAAAAGATGTGCACACTGTTTGATCATTAATAACTCGCTTGCTTTCATGTCTTTTGCCGAGCTTGAGGTACCATTCTATAGGGCGAGGATAAACTCAGATTTACAGTGGAGCGAATCACCAATCGCTCTTCGTTACTGTAGGATCACGGTAAGAACTCTCAGCATACAGCGTTACTGTGAAATAAGCCTTCTGACGAAGTAACTTCGAAATAATCTAAAAAACTGTATAACAAGGTTTTCAGGCGTGCTCATTTTACTACATAACTTTCTACCAGTTTTTCGAGCTTTCTTGATGGCGTATTCACATTTCTAACAAATACTGGAAAATCAGTTGCTACCCTAAATCTGATATAACTCATGAAAGAAAGAGTGTACTGACGTGCAAATTACATATTAGAATTAGCAACTTCGATTGACCCAGTTCATGAGTTTCTGGCTTGTTTGGCTTTTTTCTGAGACAAAAAACTGCTTCCAATGGCTCAAAATCCTTTCCGAAATTCCTACCGTAATCCTACAGTAATGAAGAGCTGCTTATAAATCGCTCCATGCCGTAAATCTAAGTTGAACCTCGTTCTAAAGAATGGTACCTCAAGCTTGGCAAAAGACATGGAAGCAAGAGAGTTATTAACAATCAAACAGTGTGCACATCTATTTGGGACACCCTGTGTTATTGACAGACCCGGGCGGAGCCGGATTTGCCAACTAGTTTTTCATAATATCGAGCTTGAACAACGAAGAAGAAGTACGTGCCGACGGAAGTAAGTTGGGAGCGATACCTGTCCAAGCAGTGCAACCGACATTGAGAACTCAACCTTTGAAAATGTTGAAAAGACACGTATAGGTCCACGTCTTACCGGAACCACTGGGATCATCGATGAAAAAAGCCTTAAAGAATTTGGGTTCTTAAAAGCACCGATAATCGTGTTTACTGCGTCCCTCTGTCGTGCATTCAAAGTTACAAAAAAGCGGTTGCCTTCAGCTCTGCAAATTTCAGGATCATACACGCTAATTGTGGGGCGACGGCCTAACGATGGCGCAGGAATGTTGAGTGAAGCTATGTTATGTTGTTCTTGATAAGCCGTTCCTCCGAATCGTAATATGCAGCAGCAATCGCTTCTTCCTCGGACATGATGTCGTGCAGGTAATCTTCAATTAATTCCCCTTAATGGTGTTCCAAAGCAACGCCGGATCCTTCACTTCCATAAAGGCGAGCACGAAGAAAGGGCCCTCATTTGCGAAGCAGTAGCAAACAGCGCGGCCTCCCGCAAAGTAGCGATGTGAAAGTCGTCATCGTCGAAGAGGCCCAAAGCTACGGCTGCCGCATAAAAGATTGGGTGTCTTACCGAGTTGCCGTTTTCGTCGACTACTGTACGCAGACGTTTGAACGGCTTGGCGCCACGAACACGCAAGAGAAGGTGCCTCAAAGCGTATCGTTCCGTTTCGCTAGGAGATATTGTAAACATTCGGCCAAGCTGGTTGTCGCTGCGACGTCGGGCAGTCCATGTGCCATCCTCGATCGTAAAATATGTGGGCAGCTCCGTGTAAAGGTAGTTACGAACGTCAAGGAATCCTGGTGGAATAGCAGTGCTGTTAACAGTAGCTTCACTTTCCGCATTAGCCTTGAACCACGCAGTCAGGGTGGTACGACGGGCAGCAGCGCGTTCGGCAGCTTATCGCTCTTCTTTAGCTCGGAATGTAACTTGCTGTTCTTGGGGTAGATGGACGGTGAGGCGGTAAATCGAGTGAGATTTCTTCTCCACTCTGTACTCCAGGATGTGATGTATGGCTTCGGCAGCATAGACGTAGCGCATGTCGAGATGAGCAGCGATCTTATCGATAACGTGGCCATCCGTCTTCTGTACAGCGCTCGACCTGCTAAGGCAGACGGAAGCGGCATCGTGTCCGTTGTAGACATACTTGAAGATATTTTACAGCCTCCACCAATGAGCAAATCTCCACATTAAAGGCAGTGTCCGGGCAGAAACTCGACTTCTAAAAAATCAACTTATCTGGGGTTATCCGCAACGCTGAATCCGAAAATCCACATCAGAAGGCGCGAAAACGGCGAGAACATGCATTTTCCAAGTCCTCACATTTCGAAATTTGGGGATCCCCGCCAGGCTAAGACGCAGAGGTTGCAAAGAGCGCACGGTTTTTAACTGTGGCGGCATACGTACTCTGCCGTCTGGCAGGAATTCAAACAACTCGGAGGACCCCGCCCCAAGGCGTAAGTTTCCCCAATTTGCAATCGTTTTTCTTGCTTTAGGTCGAACGTTTTATGCTCGCAGTTGCGCGATGTTGTGTCTCAGGGGGGCTACTTTCACATGGCAGAGAATTCTCAGAACCCCCATTTTGCCCGGACACTGCCTTTAATGCGCGTTGAAGGTCTTCAAAAGAAGCGCGTTATATGGCACGACATGACGGTTGTCCAGCTTCACATTGTTGCATATAACATAGTGACCGTCGTTGGGCCTCCGATACTTGAGATAATCGTTGAGTTGTAATTCAGTCGATTCGCGAAATTCCTTGGGAAACTTCTTGGTGCATATGCCATCGCGCATGTACGGAGATTCCGGGTTGTGCATCCCGCAGGGTCGGTGCGTCATCATTGTTGGTACGATCTTGCGCAATCTCGGGCCTTCAATGGGGTCAGGAATTGTAGCGCTGATAAGGCGATCCACGTCTGTCGCTGTGCGAGGCTTAGAGTCCCTATCCATGATGAAGAGGGAGTGTTTATGAGGAAAACCTTTCTTCTGCCACTCGAAAGCTGATACGTACCGAATAACGTGGCCAAGAACGTGTTTAGTCAGGAGCAGCTTCATGAAGGCGTCGAACTTAAGCTTGTAGACCCTGGTAATCATATCCGGGCGGTCGGTAGCAGTCTGTCCCGGTTGAAGGCTTTCTTCAATCTCGCGCCATCTAGGGTTACATGCGAATGTAATAAAGAAGTCCGGCTTGCCGTATCTTGCGACGATGGTCATGGCGTCTTGATAGTCTTGTAGCATAGAGCGCGGACTTCCTTTGATGGTGGCCGGCAGGATTATGCGCTTCCCTGGCGGTGCATTGTTGCCATCATCCGTAGAAATAAAGTCCGCTAGCGACTGGTAAGCATCAGCGCGAAGGTCCCCTTGATGAGTGCGGATGTAGTTGAGGCGGTTCTGCTCTGTTTTACCCATGCATCAACAATAAATTGTTGCGTAAGTGGCCCGCCAAAGAGAATTGGATTAAACTTATCCGGTCTAATCTTAAGCAAGTAAGAATAGTATTCCCTTTGAGAAGTGCGGGTGCGCCGAGCGCCTGATCTCCCTTCTTAACACGTTGACGACAGTGCCGCGCAATGGTGCGCGGCAGGCAGTCTGTCCCTGTGGACGACGCCGCGCAATGGTGCGCGGCGGCCTTAATTTCAATACTATCTGTCCAATCCTCTCAGTTTTTGTTCATATAACCAACATAGGCTCAGATGTATCTCATGTATTAGCCCCGCCCCTTTTTGGCAAACTCCACCCACTTCTATACCCCTCACAGAGACCCTTTTTGTTCATAAAAAGCATGGATGAGGCCGTAGATGAACGCAAAGACCTCAAGTAACTTTTATACGGGCTTCGCCCAACGTCAGGCAAACTCCGCCCCCTGATTGGCAAGCTCCGCCCACTTTTCAAAAATGCCGGAATTTGCACAAATTCATTGATTTTGGGCAATTTTCAGCATTTTTGAAAAGTGGGCGGGGCTTGCCAAAAGTGGGCGGAGTCGCCCCGCCCACCTGCATTTTTGTATCTCACGCATAGATGCATGCATACATACATGCAGCCAGCTGTGAAAGTGCCGGAAAACGGTTCGTCCACAGGGACAGAACTTCAAAAAATGGCTCGTCGTCAACGTGTTAAAATTCGTGTACCAGCCGAGCTTTTCTGTGGGAAAAAGTAACGGGTAGCATAGCGGATCAGCGACGTCAGAGACGTCTGTAATCCGTTGAAGTGCGTCGCCATAAGGATAGACGGCAAAATCGCGATGAAAGGGGACATCACCGTTTTCGCCGACGTAAACGATAGCCACCTCATTGCGAACAGGAGCATTGTAACGACTAAGGTCGAGCGAACGATTGATCTCAAAAACCATACGAACAGGCTCTACGCTTCAGTTCTCTCGTGCCGCAGCAGCTTCCTCTTCTCTGAGCAAATCGCCAACATTTTGTAGGACTGCGCAAAATACAATGGCGTGCTCAACAATTGTATTACTTCCGGGTCACATTCCACGTGCACGGAATGACCGAGGCGTTCCGCGACGGCTTGCGCCGTATCGAGGGTATAGAGCTAGCCGAAGGATCGCTGATTTTCGGGATGAAGAAGACCGGCGTAATGGTAAATTTGGCCGTAAATTTTGAAGACCCAAGGACCGTGTCTTGCAGGCAAGTCGACTTATGCGCCCATCGATGCCATCGCAAGCTCTGACTTGAGTTGGCGCGCTTTGCGGCGAAAATTGCGGGAGGGTTCATCGTCGCCGACAAAGAGCTCATGCAATTCAGCGGGGAAGTCGGCGAATTTTCTTTGATAACGATGTTGCCAAAGTTGCACACGTTGATCCTATCGCGACCATTAGGGACTTCGGGGGAAAAGAATGCAGCTCCACACTGAATACAAACGACATTTATTTAACCGAGGTAGTGCTCAGTGACAGGCGGCACCTCATGAGCGTTAGCCGATGGACGTTGGCGATGGTCACAGTTGGGAACACGTGTGGCAACAAGACGTCCTCTTTCTTCCTCCGGTGTCTGGCTGCGGCGAAGGCGAACACGCTCAACTGCGGAAGTACGCCTAGCAGCAGTACGTACGCGAGTCCTGTGCATCTGTAAAATGGGAGTATAGGTAGGTGTTGACTCGTCCACATTACATTGCTGCTCTCCCTATCATTTTTCAGTTTTTTTCCATTTTTCCATTTTTTTTGTTTTTTTTAAATTAGAAAAATTGTTTTTCTCCAAATTTTGCAACGTTCAAACTTTGGTAACAATGAAAAATTTTCGAAGGTATGTAGATTGCAAATTTTAGACGAAGCATCCCTCGTAATAGTTGCATAGATAAAAAACTGAATATTACACTACTTTTTTACTTTCAGAATTTGCTATTACTTTTCATAAAATTGTAAAATTTGAAGAACATCTTTTTCTCCCTTCAGAATTTTGCAATCTGAAATGAAGTAACTTACTTGCATTGGGCTAAGAAGATCTTCTTGTGCTTTTGGTACCTCCTGGCCATAACGAAGACGGGCATGTGCTGCTGCGGGAGTGCGCCTTATGGTTGTACTACTCTAGTCCTCTGCGTAATAGGCATTTGCGAAAAGAGGGTGGAAGTAGGTAGCTGCTTGTCCACTTCATGTTACAGGGATGCAATCGTACTAACATCCTGCACTACATCTTCGCCTCTTTCCTCGGAACGTTGGTGCTGTGGTTGGCGATGGTCACGGTTGCCTTCACGTGTCGCGGCAAAACGTCCTTTTCGTCCCTCCGGTGTCTCCTGGTTACGGCTAAGGCGACACCCTCAGCTGCGGAACTGCGCCTAGCAGCCTACGTGCGCGAGTGCTGTGCATCTGTAGAATGGGCGTATAGTTAGGCATGGGCTCGTCCAGTTCACATTGCTTGAAAATGAACATCTCTCGCTAGTATTTTTCAGTTTCTTTTCATTTTTTGTTGTTCTTTCAGATTTAGAAAAATTCTTTCTCTTCTTCACAACGCTCAAACTTTGGTCTTGATGAAAAATTCATCCAAATGGTATCAGGCTTGCAAATTTTACAAAATCATCTCTCGTGACAGTTTCATAAAAAAACTAAATTTCAGGAAACTTTTTTGTTTTTCAGAATTTTACAACATTCAAACCTTAATCCCAGTTAAAGGTTGAAACGTTAACATAAAGCATCTTTCACCGTTCCTCTTCATAAAAATGTAAAATTTGAAGAAAATCTTTGTTTCCTTCAAAATTTTGCTGTCAAACTCTAGTCTTGCTGGAAAATTTCTGAAAGGTACCAAGGTCGGAAAATTTTACAAGAATATCTATCACGATTACTCATGAAGTTTTAGATTAAGAAAGCAATTTTTTTGCTATTAGGATTTTGTAGCTTCCAAACTTTGGTCCCGCTGAAAAATTTATCTGAATGGTATTGAAGTGGAGAAATTCTACATCTAGAAAGCATCTGTTATTAATTTGCAAAAATTTGAATTTTGGAAAACTTTCTTCTCTCAGTATTTCACTTTCAAAGTTTGGCTTCTCTTTGTATAATTAGTATCAAGGTCGGAAAACTTGACAAAAAGCATCCGTCGCCATTAATTTCCATAAAAATTTGAATTTTGGAAAAATTCCCTTTCTCCCAGAATTTCGCTTTCAAACTTAGGTCCTGCTGGAAAATTCATCTGAATGACATTGAAGCTGGAAAAATCTACGGAAAGCACCTTTCGCTGTTAATGCTCATAAACTGGAAATTTGGAGATCTTTTCTACAGAATTTTGCCAAACGTAGGTCCCGCTGGAAAATATGTGAATGTGTCAAGGTCTGAAAATTTGGCACAAAACATCTGTCGCTATTAATTTGTACATTAATCCGAAATCCAGGGATTCCTTCTCCATTTTCCAGAATTTCGCTTCCAAACTTTGGTCCCGCTGAAAAATTTATCTGAATGGTATTGAAGTGGAGAAATTCTACATCTAGAAAGCATCTGTTATTAATTTGCAAAAATTTGAATTTTGGAAAACTTTCTTCTCTCAGTATTTCACTTTCAAAGTTTGGCTTCTCTTTGTATAATTAGTATCAAGGTCGGAAAACTTGACAAAAAGCATCCGTCGCCATTAATTTCCATAAAAATTTGAATTTTGGAAAAATTCCCTTTCTCCCAGAATTTCGCTTTCAAACTTAGGTCCTGCTGGAAAATTCATCTGAATGACATTGAAGCTGGAAAAATCTACGGAAAGCACCTTTCGCTGTTAATGCTCATAAACTGGAAATTTGGAGATCTTTTCTACAGAATTTTGCCAAACGTAGGTCCCGCTGGAAAATATGTGAATGTGTCAAGGTCTGAAAATTTGGCACAAAACATCTGTCGCTATTAATTTGTACATTAATCCGAAATTCAGGGATTCCTTCTCCATTTTCCAGAATTTCGCTTTCAAATTTTGGTCCCGCTGAAAAATTTATCTGAATGGTATTGAAGTGGAGAAATTCTACATCTAGAAAGCATCTGTTATTAATTTGCAAAAATTTGAATTTTGGAAAACTTTCTTCTCTTAGTATTTCACTTTCAAAGTTTGGCTTCTCTTTGTATAATTAGTATCAAGGTCGGAAAACTTGACAAAAAGCATCCGTCGCCATTAATTTCCATAAAAATTTGAATTTTGGAAAAATTCCCTTTCTCCCAGAATTTCGCTTTCAAACTTAGGTCCTGCTGGAAAATTCATCTGAATGACATTGAAGCTGGAAAAATCTACGGAAAGCACCTTTCGCTGTTAATGCTCATAAACTGGAAATTTGGAGATCTTTTCTACAGAATTTTGCCAAACGTAGGTCCCGCTGGAAAATATGTGAATGTGTCAAGGTCTGAAAATTTGGCACAAAACATCTGTCGCTATTAATTTGTACATTAATCCGAAATTCAGGGATTCCTTCTCCATTTTCCAGAATTTCGCTTTCAAATTTTGGTCCCACTGGAAAACTTCTGATTGGTTTAAGGTCGGAAAATTTGACAAAAAGCATTTTTCGCGATAGTTTTTCACGAAAATTTTACACTTACATCATTTTCATGCTCTCAAGATTTTGCAACTTTCAAACTATAGTCTCGCTGAAAATTTGTCAATGGTATTGAGGTCGGAAAATTTTAACAGAAAGCATCTTTCGCCATAGTTGTTCCTAAGACTCGAAGACTTGAAAAATTCTTTTTTTGCTCTTAGAAGTTTGCAACTTCATGCTTTGGTCCCGCTGAGTTCACCTTTATGGTATTAAGGTCAGAAAATTTCACAAAAAGCATCTGTTGCTATAAGATTTCATTAAAATTGAATTTTGGAGATTTTTTCTCTCAGAATTTTTCTTTCAAACTTTAGTCCCGGTGGAAAATTTCTCCAAATGGTATTGAAATTGGAGATTTCTACAGAAAACACCTTTAGCTGCTAATATTCATAAACAAGAAATTTAGAGTTTTTTCTCGCAGAATTTTGCTCTCAAACTTAGGACCTGCTTAGGACGCTGGAAATTTTCTAAATGGTTCAAGGATTATTTGTCAATGTTATTAAAGTCGGAAAATTGGACAGAAATCATCTTTCGCGATGGTTGTTCCTAAGACTCAGAGACTCAAGAAAAATTCTTTTTCTGCTCTTAGAAGTTTGCAACTCAAACTTTGGTCTTGCTGGAAAATTCATCTAAATAATACTGAGGTCGGAATTTTGCAAAAAGCATCTTTCTCTATTAATTTCCATAAAAATTTGAAATTTGAAGAGAATTTCTTTCTCCAAGAATTTTATTTTCAAACTCGGTCCCGCGAAAAATTTATGAATGGTATAAGGATCGAAAGTTTCACAGTGAGCATCTCTTGCGATTCTTTTTCAAGAAGTTCAGAACTTCAAAAATTCTTTTTCTGGTTTTTTTCTGCTCCAAAAGTTTGCGACTTTTAAACTTTGGTCCTCCTGGAAAATTCAGATGTCATGGTCGAGGTCTAAAACTTTTACAAAAAGCGTATCTCGCTGCTGTTTTTCGTATAATTTTGAAGTAAGGAGAAATTATTTCTGTATCTAATTTGCAACTTTCAAGCTTTGGTCCGGATGAATGGTATAATGGTCAAAAAGTTCAACATGAAGCTTTTTACTGCAGTTTCTCATTGAAAAATTTTGGAAGAATTTTTTCTGCTTCCATGACATTGCAGTTGTCAAATTTAATCTCGCTGAAACGGTTCTGAATGGTACTGAAGTCGGAAAAAATTTTCACAGAAAGGGTCTATCGCGTTTGTTTTTATGGAAACTAAATTTCAAAAATACTCTTTTTTCTCGGTATTTTGCAACATGCAAACTTGAATCCTGCTGGAAAATGTATGTGAATGGTACTAAGGTCGAAAAATTTTACAGAAAACATCTCATTGGTGACGACAATTGAAGTAACTTACATGCATATGGGCGAGAGGGTCTGCTGCTTCCGGTGTCTCCTGGCTAAGATCCGCAGAACTGCGTCTTGCGGCTATACGTGAAACAGAAGCAGATGTAGACGGAAGGTCAGACGACGACATCATGAGTGTTAAAATAACGACGGCTAAGCCTTCATGAGGCCTATCGATTTTCAGTTAATCGACATGGTGGTCATGCTGTGATCTTGGTTGGGCTTAGACCGTAGAAGACTTTCAATTTCATTGTTCTCATTCGATTTGATGCAGATTCCATGATTCCTTTTAACCTTGTTTCAGATTCCTAATTTTCTAAATACAAACCGCAAAAATCAATAAATCAACAACGGCAATTCGTGTGCCGAACAAAATGAGTTGCAACACACCTCCCACCCTACACATTATGTTTGGAGTCGAACGGTGGGTCCTGAACAGAATGGACATTATGTCTGCGAGATTTGGTTCGAATTCCATAACATATTCCATCCTTTTTAGGCAAACATACAAAATTCTCCAAGCAAAAACTGCAAAAAATCAATAAATCGATAGAGTCAGAAAGTGGTTCCGGACAAAATGGCTTGTTAACACCCCCCCCCCCCCACCTTATGCATTACGTTTGCGAAATTTGATACAGATCTCATGACTCTTTCTATCTATTTGGGCAAACATACAAATTTTTCCAAGCAAAACTGCAAAAGAATCAATAAATCGATAGAGTCAGACAATGGGTCTCGGACAAAATGGCTTACTAACACCTCCCCCCATCCCATACATTATGTCTGCCAAAGTTGGTCTGGATCTGGCCGCTCCTTCTATCTTTTTTGAGCGAACATACAAAAAGTGGCTTAGCCAAATATATATAGTATTGGTGTCTACACTACGTCCAGACTAATTCATGTGCTTGGCGCGTGGGAAAGAAGATCAGTTGAAGCAATTGAGGAGATTTTACAAACGACATATTAAGATGTTAGAGGTCCCGTCTACCCAGATTTTCGACTTCCACGTTCTGGTAGCTTCCGGGACCTTCTCATGTCCCTGATTCAGAATATGAGATCTGGAATCTGCAAAAACCCCGAGAATCCCCGTTCAGGAGAACCCGCAGGCCTATTCTCCACGACGAGGTTGAATGGCCGCGCACGGATGGGCGGACATGGATGGGGAGGGTGGTGCCGTCTGGGGGTCGTCGTGCATCTTCTTTATTCTGGAGCGAATTTCACGCTTCCAAAGCGACATTTTGCGCCGCAAAATTGGGCGTTGGCCTGACATAACTTGACATGGGACTCTACTTTCGTAAGCTGCCAAAAACTCAAGAGTCCTAACTTAAGTGGACGGTGCTTTTAACCGGAAGTTGTTTGAATAAAACACTGCGGTAGTACATGAAAGTGAAGGAAAAGGTGCGTGAAATGCTATGTATTAGGTTGATGCAAAAGAAGTGGCCGATTTTCCAAGCCTTTTTTCAGGGCAACTTTTTTCCATCAATACTTCTTCTTTACAATGGATGTAGTATATTGTCGCGAAGCTGTTTTCATGCTCTGTATAACGGTGCTTGGCACGGGCTTTCATCCTCATCTCTTATAAAGTTACTGAGCTTCAAATAACCGCATCCAAATTCAGAATTTCATTGCATTCACTTTTCCGGCCAGAATTGAAACGCGTATCAATGAGATTTCTTCGAAAATTCAGCTATTGTATGTGATAGAAATTTTACATTATGCATACTTAACTGCATTCTTTGAAGCTATTCAGACCGAGATGTCGGCCTAAACATGGGTAGCTGTTGCGGTCATTTTATGACCCATAATTTTCTTTTGAGGAAGTCACTCGCCAAAGCTTTGCTCGAATTAGCAGTTTTTGCAAAAACATCCAGCTGTTCAGTACGCAGAAAATCAGAAAATTCTATATTCCGGGCTTTGAGGCACACTGAAAAAATGTTGAAAAAGCTGAGGAATTTTACATTTCAATTTTTTCCTTCTCGCAAACTTTTTTGTCCGAATTCTTTTTATTGTGTTTTGAACTAATTGCTTGCGGCTACAAGATAGGCCACTTCTCATTCATACTAAGAAATTTTGAAGGAAGTTTTGAATTGTCAAAGACAAGCTTGCCGCAGAAAAAGCTTTTTTGTCTTTTAGTCCGTATTAGTCTTCCCGTTTATGGTTTAAGTATAAATAAGTATGCGCTGTATTTCGAAAGGTTTGCTGCTTCTGTTGGTCTTTACCGCATTCAGAAATGTGGATTTTTTAGAAAGTTATAGTACATCAAAGTGAGAATTCGCAAATTGGCCATTCCTTTTGCATCAACCTAATAGTCTGGTTATGGTAATAAAACAATATGTTTCAACATTATGTTCATAATATGTTCTGCCAGCTGGCTTACCCGGCTCCGCCGGGCTCCGTCAAAACACTGTAAGGTCCCTCCCACTCCCTGTACAGCCTTTCCCTGTGCCCACTTCTGCACTTCATTTCCCGTTCCCTGTGTTGTTTTCGAAACCAGCGTGCCCATTTACCCCCAATCCCCCCCCCCTGTGCCAACTCCCAGCCCTTCAACTCAAATTTTGAAAAAGTCGATAAAACCGATAAAACTAATGGACAATCTTGGAAACCAGTATTGTATTCGGAATCGCCATGCTCACTTACCCCGCCAAACCCCAGCCCCGTAGATCGAACTTTTCAAAAAATCGATAGAACCGATAAAATCGATATCGATCGATAGAAAAGTAGCCTACAACACTCGTCCCGCCCCGAAGTGTATGTGTGCCAAGTTTGGTTCAGATCGGTTCAGAAATGGAATTTTCTATTCGGAACATACGTACACACAGACAGACATACATACAAATAGCATTCAGCTTTATATATAAGATACTGCTCTTAAATGACCGTGTGCATAATCACTTGTGATTTCGTACTCAGCTGAAAATTTACTCAAATTTTATCATAACATTTATTCATGTGATCTTTATTCTGTGAGTTGTTCAGTTCAAACAACGCATAGACCTTGAGAGCATCCTCCTGGGCACTTCGAGCATGGTGTTCCTGTTTCGTAGACTTTGGCGTTGAGCATGTTTCCTCTGAAGTTTTGGTCTGATGATCGGTTCAGTAAGTAAAGCAACTCGTACTTACGCATTTTTATAATTGCAGACAACAAAGGACATTCTGGGGCAGGTTTGGACAGCGCAACCAATAACCTTCGTAGACTGCCAGACCATCTAAATTCATTTATTTGCCTATACGAAACCATGACATTGTCTGAGATCATTTCTGCTACTGACAATAAGTAGGCGAAGACATCAACGTTATTGAGAAGCTTTCAAAATGGCGCAAAGCAAGCACATTATGTGGGGAGGGCATGGTGCATCTGCGATGGCGAAAATCTAGTGCTGCGAGTGATTCTTGGGTGCGGGATGGTGGTGGCGTTTGTGTGAGGAACTAGGATTTGTTCTCGGTAATGGGAATGCAGTACTGCTTACCTGTGTGTAGTGTCCGACTTTATTGTTGAAGAGTTTCATGCTGAAGGTGAGGTCTTTGCCAACTCCGTATTGTGCGAGCTCCCCAAACCAAGATCTTGAAGACTGGAATGATGGAAACCGGTTGCCTTATTTGAGCGACAAGCACCATAAGATTTCTCACATCTTCTGCAGCTTTTACTGGGTCGTACGCTGGGCTGCGCATATAAATGTTTTCTCCAAGACCTTTAGTGTTTGAGTGCTGAAAGACGCATTTGGCAGCGTGTTGCACAGCGTATTTCTCCACATCGCAGTCGTACTTCTGGAACATCTCCCTATTACTTGTTGCCTGTCATCACTGCTAACAACGAAACATACCAGTTTGTTCATCGCAGCAGCCATAGGAGCAAACCCTCCATAACCGTCTTTAGCTTTTCCATTAGCTACCAGCGATCTGTATGGATCAACTATAAACTCCTAGAAAACGAAGAAAGCTTTCATTAGATCTATTACCTTAGCTCGTTGTGAACGTCCAGAAACTTTTGACGGATCTGATCGTTCATCTGACCATTGCTAGGGCAAATGCCTAATAAAATGGGCCTACTATTATGAACGAAAAGTAGCACATAGAAATACCATACCTGCATATGCAGTCGCGATGAGGCAGACCTAAAGTGTGTACTAGGTATCTCATTTGAGAATAAAGGAAATGCGACTTACTAACAAAACAGAACGCATCTTGTGTGTGTGATGCTAGTACAAAGTCGATGCTTATATGCAGATGGTGTGAACTTTCACCCGTTCGCCATTAGACTGTAAGCTGTGTCATCTTTCCTATATTTTGCTGTAGGGAGTTACTGAGGATCTATTGTTGAGTGTGTGATGATAGCTGCTCGCACTAATCTAAACTCTAACGGCAAATCGCACATTGAAAGGAAAAAAATAGCAACAAAGCCAGACGTTGCCGACCATTGGATTTGGCTGTTTTCGAAGCAAACTTTGATATACTTGAACTCGGTTGTCCTCTTTATTTCAAGTGCTTTGGAAAAGATATCGATCTAGAATCAACACAAAAGTTGTCGACGACATCGACGACCAAGTGATAATTATTGTAAATAGTATATGCAATATCCTTTTGACCATGTCACATTTGTTTGATGAATCATCTCGAGTTGTACAGTTTTCTCGCTTCAAGTTTTGTTTTGCATTTTTCTCATTTCAAGTTCTGTTTCGTAACGCTTATCAGCTCACTTATATTTACTTTCCCTTGAAAGATATTTTGAGATCTTAGTTTTATCAGATCTGTGGATGTATAAAAAGAGCCCATATCGCCGTATGAGCATGCTTGGTTCCTACTCTAGTTTTCCATCCCTTCAAGTTCGAGTGCAAGTTCGCTGGACGTCCATCAAGTCCTAATTATTCTCAAGTTCGCTAGAAGATCATCAAGTTCAGCATATTCTCAAGTTTTGCACTCCCGACCATACGGCGTGTGAGTGAATCTGTATATATCTGTACATATTTGGAGATTGGGAATAAACGTATTTGGAGCTTCAATTTCAACTACTACATTATAGTCCCGCGTGGCAGTTCAAGTTTAACAAGGCTTACTGAAGAGACCGAAAAACCCAATAACTTCACATGGTGCATCGGGCAAACAAAGAACCCAGGTCAGTCTAACGATTTCACAGCA